GGGGGCGGGGGCGGGGCTGCTGCTGCTGCTGCTGCTCAGAAAATTCTCAGAAACAGCCTGGCAGTCCAGCAGCCAGGCTCAATAGCATCCCGCAGCTGCCCAGGCCTCTGATTTGCTTCCTTGGCCTCAGTAGCAGAACAGCCAGTTCTCAATAGGCTTGGCACCCTAAGGGAACCAGTCAGCCTTTGAAACATAAGTCCTGGGGTCCATTTGCTCAAAAAGCAGAATTCAGTGTCTCTCACCACATTAGGCAGCAGCTGGATGAGGCAGGGTTTATATTCTCATTTCAGAGTATAGTTTTTTGTTTTTGTTTTTGTTTTTTTTTTGAGGAACCAGGAATTGAACTCAGGCCCTTGTGCTTGCCAGGGAAGAGCTTATTCCCCTGAGCCATCTCTCTGGCCCTCAGAGTATAGTTTTATTTATTTATTTTATTTATTTATTTTTTCCAGAACCAGGGATTGAACTCAGGCTCTTGTTCTTGCCAGGGAAGCACTTATTCCACTGAGCCATCTCCCTGGCCCCAGAGTATAGTTTTAATGGGTGTGGTGGCTTGTGCCTGTAATCCCAGCACTTGGGAAGCTGAGACAGGAAGTTTAGGCCAGGATGGGCCACAAAGTCCAAGGCCAGCCTAAATACAGAGCAAGTCCCTGTCTTTAAAAGGGGGAGGCAGGTATTTAGTTCAGTGGTTCAGTGCCTGTCTGGCAAGCATGAGGTTCTGAGTTTGGTTCCTGGTACTGACTGTACCTCCCCACTAAATAAATAAATGAATAATAAACAATGGGAGACCAAATCTCAGGTAAAGCAACCAACCTGAGATCGTACAAGTCAGTACTGGGCTTAGAACAGACTAGGAAAACAGTCAAAGTGTTGGAAGGGAGAGCCTCAAGCAGACAGGCCCCACATATAAGTGGTAGAAAGGTACAGAATACATCTTATTTTATCCACCTCCAACCCTGGCCCACTATCCTGCCCTACTATCCTGCCCAATCCTCTTACCCAGCACTTGGGAGGCTGGGGTAAGAGGATCTTGAGTTGTCAGCTTGGGCTACACGGGGTGGGGGTGGGGTGTAAGCCTAACCTTAACTACAAAGTGAGATCCTGTTGGGAGGAGAGGATGACAAATGTTATCATTACACATATATCTATTTTTAAAAAACTTTGGTACAGGGTCTCACTCTGCAACTCAGACTCATAGTGATCCTTCTGTCTCAGCTTTCCCAGTGCTGGGTTTACAGGCATATGCCACCATGCTTGGTTTTGATGGTGAGCTTGGTACAGGGCCGGCATGGCATGTAGTACTGGGGTTTGAACCTGGGTCTTTGCACTTGCCAGGCAGGCATTTAGACTGTCAAGCTATCTCCACCCCCATTACATATATCCAAACTGTACCAATAAACAAAAAATGAAAAAAGAGGAAAACAAAACAAAACCCTAACCTACTCTGCAAGTGGCCCCAGGTAGGAGGAGGTAAGAGAAGGCTTGAGTCATCTACCCATCATGGGGATCTTGAGACCATTCCCTGTGAGCCTTTAAGACTACAGTTCCCACAGGCCTCTGCTCCAGGTGGAAGGTCAGCCAACATGGCCCTGTAATCTGACCATCCCCTAAAAAAGGTCACTTTAGAGCTTGAGGGACAGCAACAGGGGAAGCTCAGAGCTGCAGGCCTGGTTGGGGGTGGGGCAAGGCCAGCAGTCCTGCCTCAGACGACCTCCCTCATAGGATCTGGAACCCAGGACCTTGGTACCTGTTCTCATAGCTGTCCAGTGCCCTCTATGCTGGCTTTATGTCTGCTGTACAAGGCCCATGACCTTCAGCCACATTGTGTGGCCTCCCCATCTGGGTGTAGCTACTGATGGTACCACATACCCCACCCCCAGAGAGAGCCACCATGATGAATTTAGCCAAGTTGTGGTCCTTTCTACACATTTAGGCAGATGCTGAAGGCAAGCCCTGCTGCTTCAGTGAAGGAGATCATTTCCTGGCCCCTTTCAGCATAGGCCTTAGGCCTCCTGAGATCTGCCTCCATGGCAGCCCTTTCTTAGCCTCTTCCAGAACCCCGACTAA